CCCCAAAACCCCAAAACCCCAAAACCCCAAAACCCCAAAACCCCTTCGGACACTATTTAATTGTTAGATTTTGCAAATATATACGTAAGGAAAATGGCAATGAGAAAAGCATTTACAGGTGGAGCCTGTGCTCCAGGTGGGGAGCAACAAACAATGGGTAATAATGCAATGACTAATATGATGGACTACATGATTAGTGGAGGAGCCAATGCTGCACAAAAGGCAGAAGGATTTGCTCCGCAAATTGATTCTGCAAATGTTGCACAGATGGAAGCAGCTTATGCTGACCAGCAGAAGATGGAAGCAATGGAAAAGCAGTTTGATGCTATGAATATGAATCAACAGGTAATGCCTCCAGCCCCAATGCCACAGATGGAAGCTAGCCAGTCTAATATTGATCAAATGAACAATCTTTGGGATCAACCAACTGAGAAGGTCAGTCAAGTAAATATGGAAAATCTTGAAGGAAAATTCTCTCACATGCCTACTCAATCACATCACATGATGGGATTCCCAGGAATGATGGGTCCAATGATGCATCATCCAATGGGAATGGGTCCTCAAGGAATGGCTCATAGAGCCCAAGAGTCAACAGAAGAAGTTAAGGTAGAAGAAGTACCTGAAGTAGTTAAAGAAGACAGCCAAATGTTAAAAGACGAGCTGAAAGAGTCAACTGCATACCTGATTAACAGATTGAGTCAAGTCCCAAGCCAGAAGATGAAGAATAGTCAGTTCATGGGATTTTTAAAACAACTCAACACTGGTGCATTAGACTTCGATGGACAAGGCCTTAAAGAGAATCCAGAGAAAATGAGAGAATATGAAGAACTTAAGCAAACAGAAGACAAAATGAACGCAGAGAATATCAAAAGTAAAATCGATGCAATTATTGAAGAAACTGTAGATCCTGAGAGATATTACGCACAAGAAGGACTTACACAACAGAAAGATCCCCTTGCTGATTTTGATCCACAGAGCCTATTTAGAGATACCTGGGATGCAGGAGAGATGAAAGAAGAAGAACTCCAAGAGATGATGGCTAACTGGAAAGCACATGCTATGAAAAGTGAAGAGTACTACCAAGAAACTCTGACCCCTCCCCCTGTCGAGACAGTTATTCAAGTACCCAAAGTGGATCATTTTAAGTTTGAAGAAGATAATCCATATTCAAGCGTCGATGACGCATATGCATTAGCAATTAAACTTAATGAAGAATTGAAGGTGCATGAAGCAATTTTGGCTCTTAAAGCTCATCTTACTAAAGAACCTGAGCATGCTCCAAGTTGGAGGATGCTTGGACAACTTTACCAAGAGAATGATGAAGATGACAAAGCCATTGCATATCTATTGAAGGCTTATGAGCTAGATCCTTATGATTGAGAATCCTTGCTTTACCTAGGAGTCTCATGTGCTAATGAGTTGACACCTAAAGTTGCTATGAATCATATTCTAGATTGGCTAAGATACCATCTTGACTACAGTGATCTCCCAATCCCTCAGGAACATATTGAAGACCAAGACTTGCTCCGAGATGAGCTCAGAGGACTTCTAAATCAAGCTCTGGCCAAGAACCCAGGAGATGTTGATGTACTCATATGTCTTGGAGTTGTAGAATTTGCTGAGAGAAATTACAGTGGAGCTGCAGAGCATTTTGGAAAAGCAGTAGAAAGAGAACCAAATAATTACAACTATTGCAACAAGTATGGAGCTGCCCTTGCAAATCATCTCAGAACAGATGAGGCACTCCAGATGTACGATAGAGCTCTGGCTCTCAGGCCTAATCTTGTTAGAACTTGGGCTAACGTAGGAGTCGCCTACTGAAATCAAGACAGATATGAAGAAGCAGCTGGTAAATTTATGAACGCTATCGCTCTGAACCCAGAGGCTGACCACCTATGGAAGCATCTCCACGCTTGCTTCTGGGCTCTAAAAGATTTCGAAAAATGAGAGCAAGTAAAGAAAAGGAATATTGAATACTTTCGTGGGGAGTTCGATATCATCAACCCAGAGATGTTACAAAAGAATGAGATATAATATTTCAACTTATTTACTGTAAAGGGGTTTTGGGGTTTTGGGGTTTTGGGGTTTTGGGG